ACAGACACAGTGAGCACTGAGTCCTTTGTATTGTGCCCTATGTCCTAAGCCCTGCATCCCAAGACCAGTGTCCAGCATACTGAGTACAGCGTTTAATTTCCTGTGTCCAGAGTCCAAAAGACATGTTTCCATAGTCCAGATTACTGGTTTCCTGTGTCTAGGGCCTAGATTCCCGAGTCATGTGTCCAGTTCTGTGTACAGTTTCCAGAGTCCAGAGTAATGTGTCCAGAATGATATGTCCCCAGTCCTCTGTCCAGTGTCCTGAGCCCAGAGTACTGTGTCCTGAATGCAGAGTAATGTGTCCATAGTCCCGTATCCTAAATCCAGAATCATATGTCCCCAGTCCTCTGTCCAGGGTTCAGAATCCAGGGTCCTGTGTCTTGTATCAAGAGATCAGAGTACTGTATTGTGAGGCCAGAGTCCTGTGTCCTAAGTCTAGATTTCAGTGTTTTGAGTAAAGAGTACTGTGATCTGAGTCCATAATAATGTGTTCAAGGTCCTGAGTCCTGTATCCTAAGTCCAAAGTCTTGTATCCTGAGTCCAGACTCTTGTGTCCAGAGTCCAAAGACTTGTGTCTGAAGTCCAGAATCCAGTGTCTTGAATCCAGTGTCCTGAGTCCAACGAATAGTGTCTTGATTCCAGAATCCAGGGTCCTGTGTCCTGAGTTCAGAGTGAAGTGTCCAGTATCCAGTGTCCAGCATCCAGTGTCCAGCATCCAGTGTCCAGCATCCAGTGTCCTGAGTTCAGTGTTCAGAGTCCTGTATCCTGAGCCCACAGTCTAATGTCTAAAGTACACTGGCCAGAGTCCAGTATCCTGAGTCCAGTGTCCTGTGTCCTCAGTCCAGTATCCAGAGCCTTGTTTCAAGAACCCAGTGTCCTGAGTGAGGAATACTGTGGGAATTTTTGTTTCAGTCCAGTGATTCAATATACTGAATGTGCTATGTTAATAGCTCAGGTTGAAGCAATTACACATACTATATATAAAAATAGTTGGTTAGTTAGGGACTCTTATATACAGTAGATTCTTCATGAGCCACAAACTTTATATATAGCACTGGCACTATACCTGAACTTGAAAAAAGTGTCCACAGCAAAGACATATTAGTGGCCTTCTGATACTTAACATACAGTATGTTAGTGCACTCTCATTCATGGATAACTGTATTTAAAAAGTGAGTCTACAGTAAACAGACAGAAGCAGTGACCTTTTTATTTTTATATTAAATCAAATCTTTATTTCCACCTCAGTTGTGGGTTTATCCTCCATAATATTGTATTGGAGGTTTAGTCAACTGTTACAATGTCTCTGTATGCCATCTAACTTTGCACCTGACTTGTGAATACTGGCAAAAATAAGGGGGCAGGAATGGAGTCCAGTTCTACTCCCCCATTCTCTCCACACAGCTCAGGGTCTTGTCAGACACATCACAATACAATCTATCTAATTGTCCCAATGACGTGTTTAATCAAAACTGTAAATAATGGATATTCTGATATTTTGAACCAGAACAGAGATAGAGGAAATCTTTCAATGGGGACACGTATTCCAGTGACAACCTCACTTCAGAGAGCTTTTTCGCATTTCCTGTTGTGCCTACAGGATAGGAATAAAAGGAAATCTCCCCAATGGATCAGAGCTGGTCCCCATAAGAGCTTTAACCATTCCTTACTCTAATATAGATAATAAAAAAGGACTAAGATTAAACTGGTATTAAACCCAAAAGCAAAAATGTGTTATATTGCAGCTTACCAATTTTTAAATGTGATGGCTGCATTCGTTTTCTTTATTAGGTTTTCTTTCTTCTGTTTGCACCTGGTTATCTGGACAGTAAGTTTGTTGTTTTTCAAAAGAACAAGCTATCTTCCAGATGTTTCAGTTACAGAGACAAAACATTTACCACTGACAGGAGTGCTCACAATTATCAGCTTTTATGTATGTAAAACCTTTATCCAAAAAAGGAACAAATCTGTTTGCTGTAACCGCTTATAAAATATTAGCTGATGTTTGGCTTCGATTTGTTAGTGTATCTAAATCTGCTAGTCCATCTAATATTTCCCTCCCCACAGACTAACAATACTGCAGTAAAAGGGTGCCCCCTGTGCGACTTCATCCAGAGTGGGCAAGGGAGAATGTCACCAGCACACCGAGGATTACCAATATGGGTCCAAAAGTTTTAATGAATGATCACATTGTTACAGCAAGTAACCACATGTCACATGTCTGATGAAGGGGACCTGCGAGACTCCGAAACGTTGCCTTGCTGTAACTATGTGAGTGTTCATTAAAGCTTTTGGACCCATATTGGTGATCCTCGGTGTGCTGGTGACATTCTCCCTTGTTGATTCTGTTTGGTTCCAGCCGACGGCCGCTGCAGTATCCACTTATACACACTGCCATTTTTAATGCAGGAACGTGTGCGTTTGGATTGTACACCTGCATTCATCTGGAGGTATTCACCAGGTGAAAACAGAGGGAAAAAGCAAAAAGGTAAACTAATGTGGCCACAACATCTAAGGATTGGTAAGTTGCAATATATTACATTTTTGGTTTTTGGTTTAATACTGCTTTAACTTTATACCTTTATACCTTGAGATTTACATATGAAAACAGAAGGGTCTACAATGAAGCAAAATGTTGTCTCCTAAGATGGGCTTATCATGAAATATAAGAAATTGTTGGAAAGTTAAAGAAGACAACTTTACACGTGGGAAAAAGTTCACAATATAAAACAAAATTAGAGAAGTTAACATTAGTTGGCAGTAAAATGTCATAGCAAGCTTTTCCAGCAATAAAGCCCAAGAAATACTAATTTAAATTTATATCAAAGTAATTAAATATTGAGTTGTTATAAGATTGGCACAAACAGTATTGTCAGGTCCAATAATAATATTGCAAACTCAGAACCATGCAAAACAAAACTGGCAGTTAGTTGCTCATTAAAGCTTGCTGTGCTACATCTGAAATCACTTGAAGGAAAATGTCAAGAAAATACAAATGCTGCCTAAAACTCTTCTCAAGTAAAAAAAAAAAAAAAAAAAGATTTTGCTAGTTTATAGATCAAAAAAAAGCCTCAAGCTTCTGTTAAATTTCTGTTTTTTCAGTTGCTAAGGCAGAATTTGTACTCAGTTACTTGCTACCATTGGAGCAAGGGTTTCAACCTTTCCCATTCTCACAGGGCTGAGCTGCCACTTTTGTAGGCTCACCGTGCTGAATTGCAAATGCATCCCAATGTATAAGAATAAGTGCAAAAGCTCTTAATCAACCAAAGGGTTGGGGATGGTGTCATAGTTCCAGCCTGATGGTCTCTGATACAGATAACTGCACTAAACCAGAGGGCACAAATTGTCAAAGCAGTGCACCTGTCTGCCACTTTATAAGGGAAGATGCACTTGCAGACAGTTGGTATTTGGATGGATGAGCCCTGACAGTAAAGGCAATACAGATTGTTTGGCTTCTCTATGTTTATCTTTGATTCTACATCCCTGCATTTTTCTCTAGTGTCCAAAGAAGCTATAAACCCCGCTAGCTGACAAATTTACCCAACCGCATCACTCATTCACAGCATTCTGCGAATGAGAGACTACAAGTCCTGGCAGCCTTAGGGGCTGTCAGCTTGTAGTCCTCAATGAACTAGCGTCATAGTAGTTAATTGATTCTTCCTGTCAATATATCTGACTGCTCATACATTCCATACGAGCAAGCAGATATTATAATAGATCTGCAGAAGACCTACATGGCACTAACGATCTGCTGATCACTGGTGCAATGCTTTACAGGCTCCGGCAGACAAAAATAATAAATGCACATTTTTTACCTGCAACAAAATGTGCATTGATTATTTTTTACTAAAAGGTGAGCTTATATGTTAAAGTGACACTATAGGATAACATTTTTAGGGTAAAAAAAATTGTGTTATACTTACCTATCCTGTGGAATGAAATTGCACAGAAAGGTCCTTTACTTCCTCTTCTGGCAGTCCCCTGCCGGTGCCTTCCACTCCTCCAGGTGACTTCTTAGGAAGCCAGGTACACACACATAGTGCAGCAATTCATGCGCCCACTCCCTCCACATAGGAGTTTGCTTGACAGCATCAGGAGCCTATAGCTATGTCTCAGGAAGTGAAGGAGAAGCAGTACTGCAGCCGAAACAGCGCTGGAATGGTGACTGGAGCCAAATTTATTTTATTATACTTATATAGCACCATCAGTTTATGTAGCGCTTTTACATATATATTGTATATCAGTCCCTAACCCTCAAGGGGCTTACAATCTAAGGTCCCTAACTCACGTTCATACATACACATACTAGGGCCAATTTAGATAGGATCCAATTAACCTACCAGCATGTCTTTGGAGTGTGGGAGAGAACCAGAGTACCTGGAGGAAACCCACACAGGCATAGGGAGAACATGCAAACTCCAGGCAGGTGGTGCCATGGTTGGGATTTGAACCAACAACCCTAGTACTGCCAGATGGAAGTGCTAACCATTTAGTCACTGTGCTGCCCAGATGTTTATGGATTGGGGGGGGGGGGGGTTAGCTCAATGCAGGGAATGCATTAAGGTAAAACATGTTTTGGCTTTAGAACCACTTTAAGCCTCCCTTTCTCATTATTGTGGTTATACCTACCACTCTAATCAATAAAGAAATAATTGGTGGTGTTTGATTCAACACCCCTGAACTTTTTTAGTGTGCCATAAATAAAAAAGCCATAAACATTTGGGGAAGGGGGCAATTTATCTCACCCCATAAGGCTTTTCTTACACAAGATTATCTCTACGAATATCACATAAATTACAACAAAAAGTACCAGATATTGGAAATGATCATAATAATTATTATTATTAGCATAATTAGCAGTATATGTATGTTTTTTTCACAATTCACTATGATTGAATAAGATTTATGCAGACATTAACATGACCATAATTATTAATATTATTTGCAATAATACTTTTGTTGTTTATCTTTTCTATTTACCATTGTGTTGGGAAACCTACCTTAATGTAAGTCCTTTCACACGTGTAGCCTTACGAAATGTCAATGAAAGTCTACAAATAGAAAAAAAACATGCATTTTAATGCATTGCTTATTCATGCCAGTCATCATTTTTTTTTTCCAATGTCACATAACCCTGAAAGACAAGCCTGTAACAGTGTTGTGATAGTCAGCAAGGAGCGCCGCATGTCAGAGAACAGCTGTTGTTCATGTAGTCCATGGTACATTATTATAATGGAATCTCCTCATAAACATACCCAATGTGTTGACCAAAGCAATTGTGTTTAGCAATAAAATTACTATGTGTGTTACAGTATTCCTTGCTGATAAGTAATGAAAATCATTATCATTTTTTGTGGTTGACATCATATCCCAAGTAAAAACAAAGTATTTACAGCGGTGATTTGGAAACAGAATTTAACTGATGCTCTTTTCACATTACATACCACTGTGAGGCTGGATACACTACAGGGTCGTAAAATCACTGAATTATAGTTCATTTCCCTAATGCACATTTTATCACACTTTGCTCTTTTGGTGTGTTTTTATGCATTTGATGCACTTTTGACTTTTATATTGCTGTTAAAAACACACAAAAAAGTATACTAGAGCAGAGTGAAGTGCAGCAAAAAAGCGCATTAGAGACTCACTCAAAAAAACAGAGTTTTTTATAACATTATATTGTAGCATAGCACAAATCCATATTTTAGAATGAATGGTAAGCTGCCTACATTCTTCCAATCACTCGCCCTAGCAATTCAATTCTGGTTGACCGTGGTTGAAATGACCTGAAAATTGCTACCTGTATAGCTAGTATTAGAACCTAGGAGGTTCATTATTTAAAGGACTACTCTAGGCAAAAGGTAAAATCACTCAGTGGCTGTCAGTGCTATCCAGGGCATATTTTGACTGTGCTAAAATTATCCAATACACTGAATTAATATTTCATCCGAGATGGATGTCTAGATAGAAATGGCAATTGTCAATAAGAAAATGAAAGGTGCTCAGCAGGAAGATTGTGTTCCCTGAGCTGGGTGAAAGTCAAAGTTAGGGCACTAGAATAAAAGTCTTATCTTTTAGACGTAACTCCAGAAACCCTCCTGCACATGCAATGAAACCCTTCAATTTTAAAAAATAAATTGTGATAGAATTGTTAAAATGCTTCCAAAAGCATGTCATATGATCTCGCTGGTTTGCTCCCAAACAATTAAAATGATGAATCCTAGGGGGAAGGATCACTGCAGAAGCTCAAATTGCATGGCACCCAATCAGCTTCTTATTTTCAAAACTTAAAGTGATTCTAAAGGTTGTATTTTTTTTAACCACTTCAAGTCCAGACACTTTCACCCCCTTCCAGTCTAGGTCATTTTTCAACTTTCAGCACTATCACACTAAGCCACAATGACTCAGTCATGCAACACTGTACCCATATGAAATTTTTATAATTTTTTTTCAACAGATAGAGCTTTCCCACTGTATTTGATCACCACTGTGTTTTTTTATTTTTTTTGCTATATAAATGACCAAAACATTTTGAAAAAAATATATATTTTTTTTTAGTTTTTGTTATAAAATTTTGCAAATAAATAATTTTTCTTCATAAATTTAGACCAACATGTATTCTGCTACATTTTTGTGGTAAAAAAATAACCCAAAACAGTGTATATTATTTAGTCAGTGTGAAAGTTATAGAGTCTACAGACTCTGGGGTATATATCTGAAACTGAACCGTTGAGACCCTAAAATGCCGAATGCCGGTATGATGTATGGCAGTGATCAGGATGCTGGTATGGGGTATGGCAATAATCAGGCCATTAGCATGAGGTATGGCTGTGATCAGGACGCTGGTATGGGGTATGGCGGTGATCAGGAGGTTAGCATGAGGTATGTTGGTGATCAGGATGCTGGTATGGCGGTGATCAGGATGCCGGTATGGGGGTGATCAGGACACTGGCATGGGGTATGGCAGTGATCAGTATGATGGTATGAGGTATGGCGGCAATCGGAATGCTGGTATGGCATATGACAGAGATCAGGATGCTGGTGTGGGGTTTGGCGGTGATCAGGATGCTGGTATGGCATATGGGGTAATCAGGATGCTGGTATGGGGCATGTTGATGATCAAGATGCTGGTATGGCATATGGCAGTGATCAGGATGCTGTTATGGTGGTGATCAGAATGATGGCATAGGGTATGGTGGTGATCAGGATGCTGGTATGGGGTATGTCAGGAATCAGGATGCTGGTATGGGTATGGTGGTGATCAGGAAGCTGGTATGGCATATGGAGTGATCAGGAAGCTGGTATGGAGCATGGCAATGATCAGGATGCCGGTATGGTGTTTGGCGGAGATTAGGATGCTGGTATGGGGTATGGCGGTGATCAGGAAGCTGGTATTGGGCATGGCAATGATCAGGATGCTGGTATGATGTATGGCGGTGATCAGGATGCTGGTATGGGGTATGTCAGGAATCAGGATGCTGGTATGGGATATGGCGGTGATCAGGACGCAGGTATGGCATATAGAGCGATCAGGAAGCTGGTATGGGGCATGGCAATGATCAGGATGCTGGTATGGTGTATGGCGGTGATCAGGATGCTGGTATGGGGTATGGCAGTGATCAAGACGCTGGTATGGGGTATGGCAGTGATCAGAATGATGGTATGGGGTACGGCGGTGATCAGGATGCTGGTATGGAGTATGGGGGTGATCAAGATGCTCGTATGACATATGGGGTGATCAGTATACTGGTATGGCGATGATCAGAATGCTGGTATGGCAGTTATCAGGGTGCTGGTATGGTGTATGGCGGTGATCAGGGTGCTGGTATGGCATATGGCAGAGATCGGGTTGTTGGTTTGGGGTATGACAGCAATCAGGGCGCTTGTGCAGGGTATGGCGGTGATAAGGATGCTGGCATGGCGGTGATCAGATTGTAAGCTCGTATGAGCAGGGCCTTCTTAATCCTCTTGTTTTTTATTGTATTGTAACTGTACTGTCTCCCTTTATATTGTAAAGTGCTGTGCAAACTATTGGTGCTATATAAATCCTGAAAAATAATAATCAGGACATTGGTATGGTGTATGGTGGTGTTTGTGTGCGCACTGGGACAGGTGACAGGTGCTGACTGCATTGTTTATCGTTCCTACACTGGGGCAGTGATCAGGGACACAGGGGCAGTGATCAGGGACACTGGGCTGGCTGGCATTGTAGTCTGTGAGTCACAGGCTGCAGAATCACTTCTCTCGGCTCTCACATTGAGAGACGAGAGAAGCGATCTTTAGTTTTACTTACGAGTGTTTACTATGTGATTGCTGTGATTGGACACTGCAATCACATGGTAAAACACTATGTGATCGCCCGGACACAGCGGTAATGTGATCTACTGTGTTCAGGTGACATATCGATCACCAGGTGACATATCGATCGCTGGGCTCCAGGGTGCGTGCTCTGTGAGTCGCAAAGGAGCCACCGATGTGGGCCGAGTGCCCCCAGTAGCAAGCCTCTTGCTATGGGAGCACTAAAGTAGCCTCGCTTCTGCGCCCTGATCCTGTGAATGGACTATGTCCCCCTTCTCTCCTCATTGGCTCATTGGCTATAATTGACAGCAGCAGGAGCCAATTATTCTGCTGTGTGAGCAAATGAGGAAAGAGAGTCACAGGGGAGCCTTGGCTTGGCTTCGAAGAACTCCGGAGGAATGCCTGTTGTACCCAGATGTTATTGATGCAAGTGTAAAGGTGGGGAAAGAAAAGTAGGTATAATCAAGCATAATATAATCAAGTGTGAGCGGGTGCAATTCATGCCACACGTCAGATAGACCAGCTGATGTTAGAGGTTCAGAAAGCGAATGGAGTCAGGGTTGGAATGGTGAGCAGCACCAGTGGATTTGTCTAGTATTAGGTGCATGACTACATTTGAGACCCTGCACAGGAATACAATACCCTTCACTTGGGAAGACAAGAGAGCAAGCAAATGAGATAAGTAGGGGACATTGGAGGTGTTTGGGGCATAATAGACACCTTGAAGGGAACGCTGAAGCAGGAGATATCTGTCTTGGGGGTCCTGACATTGCTTCTGGCAAAGAAAGGATATCCCTTTATAGAATGCAACCAATATGCCTCCATGCTTAGTCAGGGCCAAGACCAAGTAAATCGCTGGATAGTAATAATTAAAGATCCAAGGAACAGAAGAGGTGGAGAAATGCTTCTCCTGAAAGCAAATCACATTAACACTGTAGGACTGGAGGAAATTAAAGGTAGTGCATCATTTGGAATGAGAATTTCATGGTGGATATGGTGGAACAGGAAGCTTAACTGGTTTATGCTGCAGCAAGAGGACCGGAAGGTGGATCCTGTGTGTGGGGGGAACCAGAGGGAGAGGGGAAGGGGCCGAAGAAGGGGGAAAGAGCATCAGAGACAGAGGACTAAAGAGAGAGGCAGTAGAACAAGGGAGAAACAAAAGAGAGAAAAAAGTACAAAAGAAGCAGAGAGCAGCACCAACTGGCACAGTAAGCTAAAAGCCAGAATGGGCTCTAAGGGATAGCAAGTATTGTTGATCAGGCCAGGGACCAGGTGACAGAGTCTTAAAAGTAGATTAAAGGACAAATGGCTCCAATGGTGAAATGAACTTTAGGAAGGGAGCTGGTGGATGTAGAGGAACAGACCCCGTTACAGCTGAAAAAGGCAAAGGACAGTATAAGGTGACACAAATGGTGCAACTTCATCAGTTACACTGCACAGTGGAGTTGACAGAGGGTGCTCTCCTAGCCTGGGTTACCCAAGGAAGACAAGGCCATAATGGTTTTGGGGAGGAGGGGGATATGGGGAACAATGAGAGAATAAGAGAAAAAGGGGTGGAAAGGGAGGGGGGATGCAACTTGGCAAAAGAGAAATCAAATACAATACAATATGCTCAATTTAAGTCTAAACCAACCATCTGTACATGCATTCACAGCAACAGAAACAAACCCCCAGGCCCTGTCCATGTCTGCAGCAAAAAAGAAAGAAGAGGGCCATGACTGTGCTGATCAGATCTTCCATCATTTCAGTAAGG